TTAAACTCATAAATAGTAAGAAATAAAATAATAAATAAATTAAAAACATCCTCCATACAAAATAAAATAAAGTGTATTTGTTAGTGCAAGGTGATGAAATTGAGGAAGAAGAGAGAAAAGGAATAAATGCTAAAAGCTGCCACTAATGATTGAAGGAATTGATTGTATTTTTAAATGTAAACCTAGTACACCTATTTATACACAAAATAGTAAAGATAAGAATGCCACATAGGCCCTAATGAGAATGTATAACAAATGACAAATACTAAATTACCCTCTAATACCATCTCGTAATTTAGTAACTTATCAGAAGTTAACAACACCAATTTCATCTCTCAAGCGAAGAAATTGGTCTATTTTTATCGCCTTTGTCAGAACATCTGCCAGCTGCTTTTGAGTGCTACAGTGCAGAACTTCTAACACTCCTTTCTGCACTTGACTTCTGAGAAAGTGATACTTCGTCTCAATGTGCTTGCTTCTTCCATGTAGCACTAGATTCTTTGCAAGATTAATTGCAGACTTATTATCAATCATCAGCTTCAGAGGTTCCTCAACTTCAACCTTCAGATCATGCAGCAGATTCAGAAGCCAAACTACTTGACAAGCAGCTACATCACCTGCAATGTATTCAGCTTCACATGTTGACAAAGCCACAACAAACTGTTTCTTGGAACTCCAAGAAATTGGACCTCCCAGAAACTTGAACAAGTACCCAGAAGTACTTCTTCTGTCAACCCTATCTCCACACCAATCAGAATTAGAATAACTCAGAAGTTCTGATTTGATCTTTCCTCCAGAAGGAAATAACACTCCATATTTCAGAGTTCCTTTTACATACCTCGGAATCCTGACAGCAACTCGGTAATGAGACCACTTTGGTTTGTTCATGTATCTGCTGACCATTCCAACTGCATAGCAAATATCAGGTCTGGTATTACACAAATACCTCAGAGAACCAACCATCTGTTTGAAGGTTGTAGCATCCACATCCTCTCCATCAGAATCAGAATCCAACTTCTGATTCGTATCAGCAGGTGTGATAGCAACCTTGCAATTTGCTAGCTCAAATCTCTTCAGAAGCTCCAGTTCATACTTCTTCTGATGTAAGATGATTCCTTTCTTAGAGTATATAAATTCCATCCCTAGAAAGAAACTCATTTTTCCAAGATCTGTCATCTCAAACGCATTCATCAGAACTTTCTTGAACTCAACTGTTTCTTGTTCAGAACTTCCTGTGAGTAATATGTCATCAACATACAAACAGACCAGAATCATATTACCTTCTGAAGTATGCTGAACATAAACACCATACTCCATCTCACACTTCTGAAACCCTTGTTCCTTGAAAAACGAATCAATCTTCAAATTCCAAGCTCTGGGCGCTTGCTTCAGTCCATACAGAGCTTTATTTAACCTGTATACCATCCCTTCCTGATTCTTTTTCACAAATCCAGGAGGTTGTGACACATAAACTTCTTCTTGTAATGGACCGTTCAGAAATGCGGACTTCACATCCAGATGTATCAAAGGCCAATTTCTATTTGCAGCTAAAGCAATCACCAGTCTGATTGTTTCGTGTCTAGCTACAAGCACAAACACCTCAAAGTAATCTAGTCTGGGTTTCTGAAGAAAACCTCTGGCCACTAGTCTCGCTTTGTGTTTGCCAATTGATCCATCTGGCTTTAGCTTCTGCTTGAAAACCCATCTGACGCTGATGGCTTTCTTGCCTTTTGGAAGTTCTGTCTGCTTCCAAGTCTTGTTTCTTTCAATAGCCTCAAGTTCTTCTTTCATGGAATTCAGCCATACTTTCTTCTTGAGCGCTTCTTCAATACCCACTGGTTCAAAATCTACTAGCATGGCACACTAAACGATTTCTCCTTCAGAATCTACTTCAGTATCATGCAACATGCTAAAATCTGCAAACCTACTTGGTATTCGTCTGATTCTCTGTGGCCTCTGATCTTGTTCTGAAGCTTCTCCAGAATTCGGAACTGTGCTGGCTTTTGGACTTTGTCCAGAATTATTTCCTTCAGAATTACCACCTTCAGAGTTACTTCTGGAAACTTGTTCTCCAGACCCCATGTCTTCAGATTTTTCCCTTCCAGAAGTATAATCACCACCAGATTCTGGATCATCATCAGAATCTGGATCAGAATCAGATCCACTATCAGAATCTCCCTGAGATTCTGACTCATCTTCAGAGTCTTCATCTTCTGACTCTGACTCGTCTTCAGAACTTTCTGAAGAATCTTTAGAAACTAACCTTGGTATTAGCACTACACCAGAATCTGATTGAAGATTGTTCTAATACCATGTTTCTGACTCTTTCACAATGACATCTCTGCTGATTTCAACTTTGTTGGTTTCTGGACAATAAAGCTTATAGGCACCTGTACTGTGGTACCCCACCAGTAACATTATTTTGCTTCTATCATCCATTTTTTGTCTTCTAGCATTTGGAACGTGTTTGTAGCATATAGAACCAAACACCTTCAGATGGCTAACACTTTGCTTGTCTCCAGTCCATTTTTCTAAAGGAACAGTTTCCTTCAGCTTCTTTGTTGGACACCTATTCAGAATATATGCTGATGTGGCAACAACTTCTCCCCATAACATGTGAGGTAACTTCTTCTCTTTCAGCATACTTCTGGTCATATCAAGCAAAGTTCTGTTTCTTCTTTCAGCAAGACCATTGTGCTGAGGAGTATATGGAGCAGTAACCTCATGTTCTATTCCATTCTCCTCACAGAACTTTTGGAACTCTGTAGAGTTATACTCACCTCCACCATCTGTTCTCAGAATCTTCAGCTTCTGACCACCCTGCTTCTCAGCCTTCACCTTGAACTTCTGGAACTCAGTAAACACTTCATGCTTGAACTTGATGAGTGTTACCCATGTCATTCTTGTGAAATCATCCACAAAAGACACAAAATATTTGTTTCCTCCAAGTGAAGGTACTGGAAATGGTCCACACACATCAGAATGTACTACTCCCAGAGCATGCTTTGCTCTGGGGGCTACTTCTGATGCAAATGGCAATCTGGGTTGCTTGCCTTTCATGCATATCTCACATGACTTCTGAGGTTTCACAATCTTCGAAATGCCATGTACGAGCTTCTTAGAACTTAGATGCCCTAAGCTTCTATAGTTCAAGTGCCGCAACCTCTTGTGCCACAACTTACTGTCAGCTTCAGCGTCTTCTGCACTAAGACACTCCGCTTCAGAAGTTTCTACATTCACCTTGAATGTTCTGTTGCTTCCCTGCTCAGACTTCATAATCAACTTCTGATTAGAATCATACAACGTCAAGAGATTGTCCTTCATAACCACTGAAAAACCTTTCTCAATAAGCTGACCCACACTCATCAGATTGCTTTTAATTCTAGGAACATACCAAACATCTTTGATCAGAATGTTTCTTCCATTCTTCACTCTGACTCTAACATTTTCCATACCTTCTGCATTAAGGTACTTATCATCAGCACATCTGATCTTTGTTCTCCTTCTAGAGTCAAAGTCTATCAACCATTGTTTGTTCCCAGTCAAGTGGTTTGAACAGCCAGTGTCCATATACCACCAATCTCCTTAACAGTTTCCATCAGAATCAGAAGCCATCAGTAGCACAGGTTCATCATCAGAATCTTCTCTGGCTATGTTTGCTTCTTCTGATTTCCTTCCTCTGTTTCTACAGTCTCTGGCAAAATGGCCAAACTGTTTATAGCAGTAACATTGAACCTTCTTCTTGTCATACCTTTCCTTTCCCTTCTGATATTTCTTTTCATCAGAAGTTGAGGTTTCTGACTTCTGGAATTTATCACCATGCATATTCTGCTTCTGGTCCTTCTTGACAAAAGAAGCCTTCAGAGCTTGCTCCACTTCCTTCTCAGAAGTTCTTTCAGTCAGACGCAACTCTTGCGCTTCTAGACTGCTTTGCAACTCTTCTATTCTCATGGTTTCCAAATTTTTAGAATGTTCAATTGAAACAACAATGTAATCAAACTGAGGAGTAAGTGACCTCAAAATCTTTTCTATGATTACCTGTTCAAAAAGTGTTTCTCCACAAGCCTTCATTTCATTAGTGATCAGAATCATTCTGGAGATGTACTCAGAAACTTTCTCACTGTTTTTCATGCTGAGATTTTCATATTGTTTTCGCAGGGACTGAAGCTTTACCTTCTTTACTGATACGTCACCACCATAACATCTGGTCAGTATATCTCATGCTCCTTTCGACGTCGTCGAATCAACAATCTTCTCAAACACATTTTCATCCACACACTGATGGATAAAGAACAGAGCTTTCTGATCCCTCTTCCTCACAGCTCTTTCTTCTGATTTTTGTTCTTCAGTAGCATCTGCTGCAACTGGAACATAACCTTCAGAAACAAGATCCAGAACATCCTGAGCACCAAACAGCACACACATTTGTATCTTCCATCTGTTCCAATTTTTGCCATAAAAAATTGGAAGTTTAGTGTTCAAACTACTGCCTCCATTCATCTTAAACCTTGCACAAAGAAAACTCAGATCTCAGATTTCTCACTCAGTGTTTCCCAAACCCACATAATCAGTGTGATTCTGTTTCAGATTTTTGTTCAAGATTAAAAAATCAAACACACAGCTCACTATCACTCGTGTTTCCCAGAATTTCAAAATAAACCAAGAGCTCTAGATACCAATTTGTTAGTGCAAGGTGATGAAATTGAGGAAGAAGAGAGAAAAGGAATAAATGCTAAAAGCTGCCACTAATGATTGAAGGAATTGATTGTATTTTTAAATGTAAACCTAGTACACCTATTTATACACAAAATAGTAAAGATAAGAATGCCACATAGGCCCTAACGATAATGTCTAACAAATGACAAATACTAAATTACCCTCTAATACACTATATCTGTGAGGGGTAAAACTTTCCCAATGAGAAATATTATTTGAAAAACAAACATCATATCACATAATTTCACCTCCCAGCAGCAGTAATATCGCACAAACCAAACCAAATGGCGATGGAAAGTGGAAGCAGCATCATCAACAACAACCCAGATGAATTCGCCGTGGGTTGTTTCCTCTCGATCAGGACAACGTTAGGCGATGAATTTGAAGGCCAAGTTGTTACCTTTGATCGAGCAACCAACTTCCTCGGACTCCTAGAAGGTTCCAAACATGGCCCTCTTCGCAACATTAGGATTTTGAGTGCTGATTATATCAAAGATTTCACCTTTTTAGGTCAAGGTCATTACCCACTTCCCATTGATTCTCATATTGACCTTCATACTCTTCAATCGAGGGAACTACTTGCTATTAGGTATTCTAAATTCTTTTTAATTTTTTTCTTCTTTTTTTTAATGATTTTGACGTTGATGTGTGATTTTTTTTGTTTTGGGGTTGTAGACAAGCAGAGGCAGAAGCTGAGAGGATTGGGGTTGGTGTTTCTAGTGAGGCACAGATTATCTTTGATGCTTTATCTAAAACGTAAGTTCTCTTTCAAATTAACTCAATTAGTATATATGGATCATATCATACTCATTGTTATTGTTTAGTTGGAGGAACTAGAATGTTGAGGGAAATGATGAGATGAGATCTAAGATTGATGAGTAGGTTTTCCGTGCCGCAAACTGAGTAGGTTAGCACTCTATCGTTCAAATCAGTGAGAGAATAAGAACTAATGTTAGAGTGAGAATAAATTTTGAATATCTAAAATGACACGCATCTTTCTTATATAGTGTAAGCGGTTAAAACCGTCTGCGTGAGAGAAGATGCATTGTGCGGGTGACTGTTTGATCTAATCAGACAGTGACCGACCCGTCTGGAGGGAAAAATCACCGGCCCTTGGTGGAATGAGGGACCACCTACTTCATAGGCTCTTTCTTGGGCCTTTTGCTATGAGCCTTGCGAACGGCCCTGAACATTTATCATGTCCAATTTTGAGTTTAGGTTATGGTATCTTAGAGTTGTAATCACTTTTTAAGTGAATATAAATTTTTGATTAATTGTACCCCAAATTAGATTAGTTTCTAAATTACTATACAATCGGAGTTTTTTTATTACTATCTAAAACAATTATTTGTTTTTTTAAAAACTGATCCTTTAATTTCTATAAAAGTAGTGTTGTTATCATATAGCGGTGCTATAGCCTGGCGGAAGCAATACTCTAGTTAGTATAGAGTGTTGTCATGGTAGTTAAAATCCCGATTTGAATTGTAAAAACCCATCTTGTGATTGTACTTGCGCTCAGCAATTAAGAGTATACATAATCCTATTTTGGTGGAATCTCTCGTGAAGATTTTCGAGGTAAGGAAAGTAGATCAAATGGAAAGGAGTCAAACAACTAGAGATAGAGGAAAACTTGAAAATATTATGAGAGAAGTTATTAAGAAAGATCTTGAGATTAACGATTTAGATAGAAGCATGGTCCCAAGGCCGGATAAAAGGAGAGGGTTGTGTTAGGCAGTCCCTAAGTACTTCGAGGGATTTAAAATTTTATTTGTCTTACTAATGCTGTTTTATATGCATAGATATGAGTTCTAGAATTTTGTATAATCTTAGACTTAGTGTTATGATTCCACAATTTGCAATTTTACTCCCCCTACCTGATTTTGCATAAAATCTTAATTTTAACTACCTTGTCTTTTCAAATAGCGGCTATAGAGGAACTGTAGCATAGATGACTTTGAACAAACCATTATTTTCCACGATATATGATTGACAACTCTATATAAGAGCTTGTGGAAATGTTTATCCAAACTTGTTCATATTTATAAGTTTCTTGTTTCTGATGCAGAATTCTAATGAGTAGATTTCTATCTTGATTTTCCCTTATTCCTAGTTTATTTTCTAGTATGCATTATTCAGCTTTTGATTTAGGGGAAGACAATTCCCCTTTGGTTGTAAAATTTAGTTTATGTTTGACAGCTTTTTTAATCATAAACTCTATAGCATTGACACCTCTCAAAAATGGTGTGTCCGTGTCCGTGTCGGACACTGACACCAACAGTTGTGATTACGTTCAATTTATTCATTTTTCCAAATTCCAATTATTACCGGTGTCAACGTGTTGTGTCTGATGTCTGTGTCCGGGTCCATGCTTCATATATCATAAATCTTGGCACACACCTTTGCTATTATTATGTTTAATATCCCAAGTGTGCCCAAGTCCCAACACCGTATCGATTGAATTAATATGAAAGGATGTCCAAACAAAATGTGAGTTTCAGGGGGAACTTCTGTTTTGTTTGTCTAAAGAGAAAAAGAAACTTACCTGATCATCTTTTTTGCATATGCTTAATGTGGGATGTCATAATAGATAATACGGATACTAGAAAATTCATATACCTTTGTTTTCTAGAAGGTTTCACTAATTTGTGTAAGTCAATTAATTGAGTACTTGAACTTTTGGTTTGTCAAGTTTTATTGGCGTGGTAGAATATTCTTGACTAGATTTAGTTCCTTCATGCATTTGTATAACTTGTATTAGAATTTTGTCATTTGTAAATTCAACTATGATTTTTTTATCATGAATGTTAGGATTGTCTAATTCATTTTTAAGGAAAGTTCATCGATGCAAAACAGTCCTTTAATTTATGTTTTATATTTGTTCTGATCAATAAGAATGTGATTCGTGATCTAGTAATCTCGTACTGCGTATTAGTTATTTTGTTAACTAATGACATTTACATGTAACTAGGCTTCCGGTTCATTGGGACAAGACCGTCATAGTTGTAATGAATGAGGTTCGTGTCAGCAGTCCTTATCACTCTGAATGTGTGATTGGCGGTACTCCTGCTGCAAACGACCGAGTGAAGAAAGTGGTAAACATTTTTCTTTCGTTACTCTGTTTAGTCTTAAATATGTATGCTGTGTAAAAATGTGCATGAGATTGCTCGTCCTTGTGGCATTATGATTCATTATTACTTAAAAATAGAACAGCAAAATGAAAACTCATGAAAACTATGTTAACTTTTATCTTCAGCGAGTACTTGGTTTGATGTTAACTTTTATTTTTCCTTTTTTTGAAGCTTGAGTTCGAGAGAAAGAGGCTGCAACTTCGTGGTTAGAAAGAACGTCCAAGGAAGAAACACATTGGACCTTACTTTGACAGTTTTTTGTTTATTGTTGTGGTAAAGTATACTTGTTTTAGGATTTTGGATCTACGGTTGAATACGAAAATGGGACTATGCTTTGCTTGTCACAGGTTATGGTTTCAATTTTCAACAGATGATTCACCTCCCACAGGTTATGCTTTGTATGAGGAATGATATGATCAATGCCTAATAAAGACTATTAGGGTGTGATTGGTTGCGAAAAGTAAGAAAAGAGAAATTATAGAGCAATTGATTGGTTTGTACTTCATATAGTTGGGTTCAAACCAAACAAAACAAAACTTGTCAATAATGGTTATGGTTTTGGATTCCTTGTTTGGAACCCAATGGTATTTGCTAATTTTGTTTTTGATACATAAAAAACACCTTTTGTAGCATAGTGTCGCACCCGTTCCTTCATCTCATTTTTACTCTGTAGATCAGAGATCCAAAATTCTTAGTCATTGTCATGTTCTGATCTCCAAATTACAAAACCATGCGCATAATCTATGTTTTTAGGTTGCAATGATAACATTTGGGGGATAGTTGGGTATATAAGAGGTTAAGATTAGACGATTTGATTGAGCAGACGTTTTTCACGTACGAAACGACCTCTCCACCAAATAAAGTCATCTTTGAGAGCATCCTTAGCTTTGATTATTAAGTTCTATGTCGGAGAGCTTGCAGTAATAGTGTGAGATAAAATGTGGACACAAACACATACCTATTAGAGATCATGTTAATCTAGAGTTTGTCAATTGTTTGGAGTATGTCACTTACTACCTTTAGGCTGCGTAATCTTGTTCAACTGACTAAGTTGATGTGAGTGTTGTTGTTATCTTCCTAGAAAAAGTTACGAGTCACTCGGTTCATTGTATCACATATACTATGAGGGAGTCATATGTTTTGCATGTAGTAAGTTGAGAAGGAGGAAAGAAGAAAGAATGCCATGAGCCAGTCGCTTAGAGTTGTTTTTCCAAGAGGGCAATCAGATTTGCATGTGAGATTTGCATATTTTGTGAAACTGAAGTTGCTTCTCTTAACGTTTACCTTTGACTTTGAGAATAGAAAATTCAAATATTTGTTCAAAGATGTGGATCCATACTCTTTTAATTTTCAATAGAGAAGTGTTCTTTGTGGTGACCTATAATACCATGATTGAAGCAAAACATTAGGATAAACTCACCCAAACTATACCATCCTCAAGGTATTCAATGTGCATGTCGAGCTGTAGGGGTTTGGAGACATCAAAAATGAATGGGAATTACTTTATCCACCCTTATGTCTTCATAGGAGTTCTTGGTGAAATTCTCCTAATACCTTCTTATTTCTTTTTAAATATAATAAAAACAAATCTTAAATAAATAAGAGCAATAAAATTGTATGTATTTAAAATAAATATCTTCCAGATTTAGAATGATTATAAATTAAATTCAAAATAAAATCAAAGTAAAATTGAGATATTGAGTTATTTCAGACATACATATCCGAAAATTCACTGAAAATGAAATATAAGGTTTTATTCAGATATGCATATCTGAAGAGTATTTTAGAATTTTCATATGTTTTTTTCACCTATATAAAAGTATACTAAGAAACCCCTAAAATGAATTTAACTTTGATCGGAATAATAATTTTGGGCTACACATATAGAATGACTTCCCTAATGATACACTAACATGTTATGTATATAGATCAATATCAAACTAACAAAATTAAACAGATTGTTGTAATGGAGTTGTAATGGAGTGTCGTCAAGAACAAATTAAAACTATGAGAAAAATTGAGTTTCTTGAACAAACACAAGAAACTCTATTAGATTTTTACGAAAGTGAGAGAGAAGAGAGAAGAAAATCATGATTGATTATAACTGTTTTACTATTTACTTACTCAATAAAGATTCAAAGATTACAAGTTAATAACAACAACCAATCCCTCTCAACAATCTGAGAGAATTAATCTATTTATAGACTATTAAGCTAAATTAAGTTACAAGTTAAATTAAATGATTGGGCTAAACAAACAAGCAGAATTTGATATGCTAACAATATTAATATTTTGACTACTGCATGTTTGAGCGTACTTCGACTACAACAAGTAGGAATTCGACATCGGCATGTGAGCAGACTTTGACAACACACTTAATCTTTGTCGAACAAGAAGTTACCCTTGTCGAGACTAGAATTTGATCAAAAATCTCAATAATCTTCACCTTGGAAAAAATCTACATCACGGAAACAAACTAGCTTTCGTCATGCATCTTTATCAATTGCATACATTGGAAAATTTTGCAACTTGACAATGTCTTGGTGATCATATCAACAACATTAACTTATGTCAAAACCTTCAGCACCTGGACTTCTCCACGCTCGAATATTTCTCTGACAAAATACAACCTTATATCGATGTGTTTGGTTCGCTCTGTTATATGATAACAACGTATCTAAAGGGGGTGAATAGATACCTAATAAAATTTCAAAAAATTATGATTTTGAAAATTTAGTTTTCTAAGAGTTTGAGCGGAAGTGCTTTTTAAAATAATTCGTCTTTACGAATATTATTGAAAACTCGGATATGCAAACTTAAAAATAAATAGAGTATGGAATAAGAATGACAATTGAATTAATACGCTTGAATTACTTTAAAACTTATTTAACGTTTATAGCAAGTTACTAGTAAAACTATTTCTAATGACAATATTTAAAGAACAAACAAAATCAATTTGTCAAACACTTGGTGTGCAATTGAATTTTCAGAATTTTCTTTTAAGTTATGTTGATACACAAAAGGACTTATAATTAAAAGTGATTATAAGCAATATCAACACTTGATGTAAATCAAAACAGTTTGAAAAAATTACTTACAATTCAATTGATAACGCAAAGCTATTTGATAAATTGATTGATGAATATTAAAGTAAGTAAAAGCAATAAGAAAAGAGACGCGAGAATTTGTCTTCACAATTCCCCATTTTTGTCCTCGCGTGTGGGTACATCTGCACCTAATTCCAACGAAATTAGGATAATTCTTACTATGCAAAAAAGTTGATACAAGAGAAGTGTTCAAGAGAAAATTCACAAATCTAATGCTTGTTGTTGATTCAATCCCTTCTCCTTTTTTAATCTTGAGAAAGACCAAGACACAATAGATGTAAATTGACTATCTGGATCTTGTTACTCTTTTGCATTCTTTATCTCCAAAGCTTTCACGCACCGTCAATTTTAACTATTGCAACACAATACCTCAATTGTAATCTGTCTTTCTCTCGCCACTTCCTTTGTGTTATTTATCTTCAAAGGATTCATTATGTTATTTATGTCCTACTTCACTTAGCCGCAATTACCTCTTGAATGTCTTGCACGAATACCCCCAAATCTATCAATGATCTTGGAGGACAAACTCACAGTTTTTCTGGAAGAAGACCGCTATAAATCTCAACCCAATATCTTTGGCTACACAAGAACCTAATCAGACGTTATCAAACTTCGTCTATATAGAATCCCAACAAAAGATCATTACAATGGAATGTTAGTGTGTATGTATAGATTGGAGGTTGAAGATGAAGAGAAAATGTAGGTTAATTTTATGGTATCACCCCGTTATGAATGGTGTATTTATAATTTTAGAAATTTAGGGAAAAAAGGACTTATTCAGAATTAAATAAATTTACAAAATTGACCAAAATAATCAGTATGTGTCGACCTATATATCGTATGTATCGACACATACGTTAGATTTAGGATGTATGTGTCGATCTGAAAGAAGGTACGTGTTAACCTAAACAAGTGAGAGGCTACAAGTTTTAAAACAACAACAAATGTGTCAATCTATAAACCATATGTATCGACACATAAAATAAGAATTTTTGCAATTTCAGAAATGCTTTGGTATGTGTCGACCTATGCAATGCGTGTGTCGATCTAAGACTTCTAGAGGCTACAAGCTTCAAAATTGAGTTCATGTGTCGACACATGCAACAAAAAATTATGCAGAAACTTGTTCTTAATGACTTGGATCAATTTTAAAATACTTTTTAATGATTCCTAAGACCTCTAATACAAAGGAGTGCCACAAAACATAGGGACACCATCCACTGTACATAAGTGCTAACTTTTCCCAATTTTGACATCATACAAAACATCTAATGACGAAGTTATACTCACACGCTCATGATAGGCTGAATTCTTTGACAAATATATTGCACTCTGGCTATCACATTTAACAGTGATAACTCGACCTTGAAGTTTCAACTTCTTAACAAAACCTTCAAGCCACAATGTTTCCTTTACAACTTCAGTGAGGACAATATATTCTGTTTCAGTGGTTGATAAGGTAACAACCTTTTGAAGTTTCTCTTTTCAAGTTATTGATGTGCCAAACATAGTGAACACATATCCATAAATAAAATTTCTGGAATCCATACAACCTGCATAATCAGAGTTAACATATCCTTCAATTTCTACTTTACTATCATCACCACAGGCTCCACCATAAATCAGGAATCTTCTCAGAGATCCATTTATGTACCTTAGAATATACTTCAATACTTTCCAATACGCCTTTCTAAGATTGGCCATATGCCTGCTTGCAATACTCACTCTGAAGGCCATGTATGGCCTCGTACAAACCAGAGCATATTGTTGGAATAAAATTTGTTTGTACTCCTCGGTTTTGATGATAACAAATTATTTAAAGAACAAATGAGTATACTAACATTTGTTTAAGTGTGCATTATCATAAGCTAGAAATTAACTTGGTTCTGACCCTGTTTAATTGCTTATGAAAGAGAAGCAAATGACTTAGATTTTGAAGGATCAGAATCTAATGTCTCGGCACTTAGAATCTTAGCTTCTGATGACAACTCAGATTCTGATGATCTGGAAAACAAAGTACAAACGCCTCTGGTCCGTACCCTGTGAAAATAAGTTATATCTTGTCAAGAGGTAGATTACGGAGAAATTTAACTAGGGCTTACTAGTGAAAGGCTCAAGGTTTTGTGACACAACCTCTTTAGTATGCTCCAACATGCTTGGGGTCGCCATACTTGAGAACGACATCGTTGATAAATCTTTTACTCAGAATATGAACATCTTTACAATACCAACTTCTAATGCCTCTCTCTTGGAAATTGCTTATCAACAAAGACACTTTTGCAAGTTATCTTTCAACAAAAATTTTGTTGCCTCTATATAA